TTCGCACAAGCATCTATGGGCTCTGTCGGAGTATAGCTATTTATCAGGCTTATCTATGACCATCTCAAAACATAAATGGGATAAAACAGCTGCAGTAATTAATATAAATATAAACTATAAAATGATAGTTTCCAAAGGCATAAAACATGAGTTCAAAATATATCTTCAGAATATACATATTGCACAGTTCTGGCATAGACTATCTACCAGCTGGCAAGAAGGTGCTGTCAGCCCTGCAATGTTCATGCTCAGCTTTTTCTTGAAAAAATTCAGATTTTGCTTGGTCATTTACGGAGTCCGCTTTCCTTATTGGAAGCTCGTATGTCAATAAGGCAAGAAGCTTGCAGCCCCCCAGGTCTGCACTGCTGTTCGCTGGTGGTAGTAACCTGGAAGAGATGGATGTTCTTATGCAGCGAAGACAGCATCAGATGATCTGATATGCAGCTTTCTTCCCTGGAGAAACTGGAAATTGTAGCAATAAGCGTCAGAGCATAATTCAAAGCATAGTTTCTCCAGTGACTTTAATATTAGGTAACTGTTGGAGGACAAATATGTGACAGAAGATTGAGGGTTTGAAAGAATTGTATTTAGAAACAGTCAATATTTTTCATTAAACGCAAAAACATCTAGGTTACATATTTATCTCCACAAAATTGACAAGCAGAGTTTGTTTCTCGGAAAACTGTATGTCAGTAGTATTATTTTTTTTCTATGAGGGATGTTTTGTTTCCCCCTTGGGGTTTGTTTTTGCTACTAAAAGATTGTTGTTATGAAGTAATGGTTTGGGAGAACAATTGATATACTCTAAAATGCAGTATAATAATTAAGAATAATTGAGAAAACCAGCCATACAGTGAGTTACGCTTTGTTTCATTCAAAGATAAAGAAAAAATTCAGATAACAAGATGGAAACATCTCAGATTTGGAGTAGTACAATGGGGAAGAGAAGCAGTGGAAAGTTGGTTCTCTGACTGTATCTTCACATAAAGAAAGGCACCGGTTTCGTTCAGCGGAAAAAAAAAAAAGGAAGGAAACTGTTGCAACAACAAAACCCAATCTTTGAACATGTTTTGCTTCTAAAACTTCAAAATATAAATTTTGGTGAGTTTAGTAGGGAAGAATTTATTTTTGCATTTTTTGATGTTTGATTTTCTAAAGCTAGATACAGCAATCTAATTTTGATTACAGAAATAACAAGGTGATTTTTCTGTGTGCAAATAAATGCATTTGCAACTTATCCTGGCCAGCAAGAAGGAAGAGCTGAGCACTGGCTCATAAGACCTGTATCCTCCGGTTTGGAAATTGCTGTTTCTGGCTTGCATCTTTTGTTCCTCCACTGTTATCACTGTAGGATCTCTTTACATGCTTTTAGCAGAGAAGAAAAGAAAGGGTCTCAAAAGAGTAAACATAAGATCCAATCTCGTTGAGAACAGAGGCATATTTTGAAGGGTAGTAGTATACTTCTAGTTAACACAGCTCATCTCTAAGGGAACTGGAGCCAGCTATTTTCTTGAGCACAACTTCTGCATGGAATTAGACTTTATAAAGGAAGGACTTTTGCATAAAATCAGGTGGTTCTGGCACCTGCCCTTCAACCCAGCCTGGTTATGGTTGGTGTATGGACAGCAGCCATCAGTGAGTGAGACTCATTTTCAGAGGAGCAAGGGGTGCCCCTGAGGATGAGAATGAGTTTTACTGCTACAATTTGCATACAGGAGGTTGCTGAAATGTCACTGGCATATTTTTCAGATTCTCAGGAATTTAAGGTGCATACATTTCAGACTCAAAAAGAATTTATCAGAATTTATAAACTTGCGTCTAGCATTAGAATCTACTAAATAATGCCAATACCAAGCACGTGCCCTCTCAAGTCTGAGGAGATTTTTGGAAAAGATAATCAGAGTGGATTGAAACATTTCAATTGGTAAGGGATCCAACATGTTCCAGGGTGGATCCTTTTGGCAGCTTTCTACATGGTGTTAGTTTCTGTCTTAGCTCATTTTCTTCTTCCATGCTCTGGAGTGAGTTGCATGGGGTGAACCTGCTTTTGTCCACAGCTGTGGTCTCAGCAGGTGCTGGGCTGAGATCATCAGGGCTGCAAGAAGCCATTATTTCTGTCAAGAATTTTCTGGAATTCAGCTACAAAAATGTGGCTTAGCAAGCATTTTGGGTTTTCTTTCTCTTTTCTGTTTTCCTCCCCATATAAAAAAAATGTAATAGAAATGAGCATCACTGTGAGCTCCCTGAGGGGACAACCATGTGAGTGTAAGTATTGCTATAGCCCCTATTTTTGCAACTGCCATCTTGGCTAGTGCATCAGTGACTCAGCTGGGAAATCCCAGCTACTGCATAAACCAAATAACCAAACTTTCCGGCAGGGGCCGTAATAGGCTGAGATGCTAGATGGAATGGGCACAGAGGGAAGTTAAAAGCAGATATCATCAGTAAATTGCATATTTTCTGTGGTCAAACAAGCCCTAGCTCAGCAGAGCTTTTTCACCTTTAGACATTATTGTGACATAAATCATTGAATCATGAATCACACAGTATTTCAGGAGAAAGCCTACGTTGTATGATACATGCAGCTCAGTGCATTAATTTCTCCACTGGAATAAGCCCTTGCATTATGTCCAAACTGTTTGTCATATTTGTTCTTTTTGCTATGAGAAACCACCTTGTCTTACTATTTCTTGTGCAAAGAAAAATATGGACTGTTTAGTTAAAAACTACAGAAATGCTTTATTATTTCAGCAGATGCTCTTTTTTTGTACCCAGTCTCCCTCTGGAGTAAAACGATGTGGTATGAAATCAAACATCTGGAGATTGGAAGGTCAGCTCTGATATTGGAAAACTGTAGCCCACAGGTCTGCCAAGCCCTCCAAGTGCCTCCTATATGGGAAACCATTTTTATAGTGTAATAACTGGAGACCATTTGTTGGAAAATGGGTTGATAATCTGCTCTTGGAGTGAGGGATGTTGCTGGGGTAACTCAGGAAAGTGTGATGAGCCAGTTTTATCTGCCTTAATTTCAGTTTTGTTGTTTGAGCCATTTCTGTAACGAGCACCTTGGTCTTTAAAAATGTTCCTTCTTTTAATAGCTGGGCCTGCTGCCTAAGCCTTCTTCTCTTCAATAAGAAATTTAATTTTAAAAAAAAAAAAAAAAGCTGTCTGGAGAACCTAAATACAAATCACCTATTTATTTTTTAGAATTTGACTTAGTATTTCAGACTAGGTTTTTTTGTGTTTAGTTTCGTTTTTAAACTAACATTTCTGTTAAAATGTTGCAGGACTGTATTAAGTAGATAGGCTGTTCCTGCCCATGGTCATTTAATGGTCTGCACTCTTTTTCTCATTTGTCTGGTACTGCTGCTGCCTCCCAGACCCACTGTCCAACTGCACTCCATTGCAGTATTATTATTCTTGATTTGTTCTGCAGTAGTTCCTAGAGGCTCCAGCCAGAAATTTGCAACTGTGATGCTATGTTCAGTGTCAACAAGTATTGAGATGATCTCTGCATTACATATTCACAATCCAAAAAATCATAATGCAAATTATAGGAGACCATAGAAACAGCTGCACTGTTTCAGCCGAAGGTCCATGTAGCCTAGCATTCTGGCTCCAGCTGTGGCCATAAACAAGGTGCCTAGCAAAGGAAAGGAAAAGAGCAAGATATTTGATATTCCGCCACTTCTTCTCCCAGGTCTCCCAGCTGCCAGCAATTCATTTTCAGCTCAAGGGATTTCCTACACCCTCTTTTGCAGCCCCCAATGGGTCTGTTTTCCAAGTGCTTTTCCAGTCTCCCCTTGAAGCTCCTCAATAATCTTCTTGCACCAACAGTGCTCTTCATCAAGTAAAGCTGCCACAGCCTGTGCGAACTACTGCCGCTGTTGCTTGATTTTGAACCAAGTCCCATTAGCTTTCGTTGGTGTCTCCTAGTCTTTGTGTTGGGAGAGGCAAGGAGCAGCCAGTCCCCACCCGCCCTCTGGGCATGTTGGAAACCGATGTCCGCAACAGGCTGCAGCATCCCAGCCCGCTCTCTTTGCTCCAGACTTTGATCATCCTGGTAGCATTTCTCTGAAGCTTTTCCAGTGTTTTTTTTCTTTTCTTTTTAGGACAGAAGAGTTTCTATCCCTGTTCTCTGTATGTTCTTGTGGGGTTGTTTTTGCTTTTCAGTCAAATTAATGCCAATGTTATTCCAGACTTGGTAATATTTCATTTATGGGAAACGACTTCATTAAGTTGCTCCAGTTCATATGTTCTGCTACAAGAAAGGATTTGGTGTTCAGCAACTAGCAATGTTCATTAACAACTATGTTTCTTTTTCTTTGTTTTTGTTTTTTTTTCTTTTTGTTTGTTTTGTTTTGTTTTCAACTCATTTATCTTTATTCTCACACACTTCTGAAAGTGTTCAAAACTGAATGGGGAAATAGATTTAAGTGAAAAGTGTTGGATATTATTCTGTTGTTTTTAAGGACTTTGGGTGCTCTTAACTCCTTCAATCAATTCTTTTCTAACTTCTGCTGTGTGCTGGGGTAGATACCAGCGCAAAGTATAGCGCTTGGTTGATTTTGTGCCATGTTCAGCTATATTAGTACGTCTGATGGGAGCAGCCTTTGCCTTCTGTCTGCCTGCCCAGCTCACCCTCCAGTGAGTTGCAAAAGCAACTCTACCTTTATTATTTTTCTTCTTTTTCACATCATCTGTCTTTCTCCTTTCACATCAGACACATCAGACAAATAAGAGATAAAAGGGAATGATGATCTGTTTAACACCACAGGAAGAAAGATGCATTATGAGACAAGAGAGACCTCTTGTTTACAGCGAGTTATTTTTGGTAATTAGCCATTTGTAGAGGAAGATGAGCCTCCGCTCGTAAAGTCAGCATGACATAATTTAGGGGACTCTGAATGGAAGTCTAACATTTGCCTGAATTGGAAATGTTAATTGTGTGCATTTAGAAATAAATAAATGGCTGTTTTTCCTTTGCAGGAAGCAGACTGAACAAAGACCTGAGACATTATCTCAACCAGAGGTTTCAGAAAGGATCGCCGGATCACGATCTGCAGCAGACTATTAGAGATAACCTTTATCGCCATGCTGTGCCTTGTAAGTAACAAATCATTGACCTGGTGGATTACACGTAGTAGAATTTCATAGGTTTTTTTGAGGCAGCCTTCACGTGGTGGTGTGCACAGCTCCGGAGGAGACTCGGTTTTCAGCTTGGGTGGAATTCCATGTGTGACAGCAGAATAGGGTTCAGGTAGGGTTGAAAAGGAAAACAGTTCATCCCTGAACTCTGCTTTTTTTGATTACCTTTTTGGAACAGTTGATCGTTTGATGCAAGCCTGTGATGCTTACTTTGGAGAAAAAACCCTAAAAATCCAGCCATGAAATGAGTGCTTGCTTTAGAAATAGTGTTCATTAACATCATTATGGTGAATGTTCCTTTATTGGTTTGAAACCTATGAATAAAAAAACCTGCTTTTATTTTTATTTCCTTAGCAGAACTTTATTTCTGATGCTTATTTAACTTGTGAAATTGAACAGCATTTTATGGCTGGGGGCCATTGTAGCAGGCAACTGCCACTGTTGGAAGGTCATCCTCGATTCAAGAAGGAGATAAGCCGCAAGAATTAGTGAAGCTGAGAAAGAAATGCTCTTTTTCACTCAAAAAAACAACCAGGAGAAAAACTGAGTAGTTTGGAAGGTGGTAATCTTTAGAAGTTCAGAATCTTTACTCAGAATGAGACTGTCCTTGGCATTTTGGGAAGATGTACAAAGAGTCGAGAATGATCCTACTTCATTGCACCTCTGTTTGGCATTCTACAGCTGCCAGGAGAGGCTATTCTAAAGAAAAGGTTTTTCTGCTTACTTTGGGATGAGCTGTGGGGATAATGGTATGCCTTTCAGATCAGGCTGGGATAAGAACTAGTAAACATCTTAGTTATAGGATACTGGGATGAGCAGCAAAATATTTTGAAGTTTTCTATCTCAACATGAATTAGAAGTTGTTTATCCTGGTAGATTTATATAAATATTGAATAATGATGTTGCCACTCAAAAATCAGTATTTGCCAACAAATATTACATAATGTACATAGAGTAATAGCCATTTTCAATCTAAGTGTTGCATGCAGGAGAACTGTGTAGGACCACAGTTAAAATTGTGTGGTAACACTGAAAAATGTTGATTCTTCAAATGGCAGATGCTGTATATCACCATTGAGTTTATTCTCATTTTATCAGTGGAAAGCTTGGACCAAATTACATTTAAAGTGCTGTGCATGGACATAAAGAATAAATATGGATTATTATTTTCTATTGAACACTTCCATTTTCCATTTTGTCAACGTAAAATATGATTAGTTTTCAATCATCTAACTTGCCAGGCTGCAGGTTTTTAAAGCATACTGCGAAAAGTGCCTTCTAGGAGAGCACGTGCAATGTTAGGCTCGGGAAATGCAATGTCGTGATGCTAATGTCCTTCTGCCTATGTGTTACATTCCAATTTCTAAAGCAGCAAATAAAGCAAATGAGCGTAAGTTCTGTGGAAGCATTTTGTGCGTTACCAAGGTTACATTTTGAAATGCTTTCCTTTGATTCTTTTCTCTGATTTATTGAACTTGATGGTGAGCTAAACTGCTTAGACTCGCTAAAGACTTTTGATTTAAAATTAAGAGCAGTGGAAGTGATTCCTGCCTTTTAGAAATAGCTGGGGGAAATATGGTTTGTCAATGTATTAATAAGAACATCAGTACTTATGTTCCATTTATGAAACAAATGGAAAATCTGAGAAGTGGAGTTAGTTATTGTGTGTCTCCATACTTTCTGAGTTGTAAAGCAGGTAGCATTTAATTTTTTCTTTATGTACTGTGGGGATGGTATCAGTGGTAGCTTTTAAGAGTGATGCTAATATTTGTATATGAATTTGAATGAGACTGCTGCACGCTCGGTGGGTTGGAATGCTTTGCAGGTCTGGAGATTAATCTAGCTGTACGCTTATATTTTTATTCCTTGGTACATGTGACCAGTAAATCCAGAGCCCTGGACCAATCTCTAGTGCTAATGGATTATGAAGTCTTGTATTTTGAAAATGGAATTCCCTGCTGATTATGTGGTAAACATGAACAAGAACACAAGGTCACTTGGACTGAGCATGCTTGGCCTGACAGCTGCTTTGTGTTGCACTAATATAAGGGCTAAATGAAGTGATAATTAGCAAATGCAAAATGGAGAAAAGTGATGTTAACCAGTTCTTCCCCAGAAATTCTAGTAAGAATGCCACATGGTTCAGCTCTGACTAGTTTGGTATAGGCGGTGAGAAAACCCAGAGGGCTTCTGTTTCCCACACAGCCGCGTGCTGGTTGCGTGCTTGGCTGACTCGGGAACTGAATGAAGACATGGCTATAGCTTTTGTAGAAGACAGAGGTCAAGCAGAGGGGAGGAAAGATGCAGAAAGTTTGACTTGACCTCGTTATTTCATATGATAATGACACACTGCTTAACTGTCATTTAGATTTTTACTTTGGTTAAGTTGGTTAAGAGTTTGCTTTATCTTCTGGTGAACAATCAAGGGTAAGAGAGTGGGATGATGTCAACTTCCAAAGAGGATATGAGTATTGCCTACATGGGTGACACAGGGATGGTTTTCTGAGAGACCAGAGGACTTCATCCTTAAACACGGGAACTGTCATAAAGAAATGAGACCTTGAAGTGGACCCAAAAGTGAAGTATTATTGAAAGACATAGATGAACCACACGGTTATGAACCTGCTCCTCAGTGCCCTCTGCCCCTCCAGCATGCTTCCTCCGAGTCTTCATACCCTCAGCTCCCTGCTCCCCATTGAGCTGATTTTTTCTGCAAAGATCTGTAGTAAACAACAGCTGTGACAAGTTTCCAGGTGGCCTCCAAGTTTGGTTGTCGTGCTGTCGTGAGTGCTCTGCTGTTACTATCACACCAAACCCACGGGTTTATTTACAGACCCAAAGCATTCTCCTCTGGCATTTACAACTTCAGCATCCTGAACTAGGACCGAGCCAGAGTAAGGAAGAGAGGCAGGACACCTTATTTATGTATTTGAATGGTGCATAAGTGCTAATGAAGCCATGCATTTACAATGTACAAATCTTTGAAAGAGTTAGTGCAGTTCAGCCACTGAACTAACTTTTATTTCAGCTGAACCACTCTGTGTTATTTCTTGATGCTCTCATTTCGCTTTTAACTTCACATGCTGGATCGGAGACTTTTTTTAGAGTATTTTTGTCTTCTGCTTAAGAAAAATCAGCACCTTAAACTTGAGCAAAGTTATTCTCCTTACATGTTCAGATAAATAACTACTCTCATTCCTAGCATGTAGGATCCACTGTCAAACTGGAAAAAAACCTCAAATACATCATCCAGATTAGCAAGATGTTGGTCCAGTCTCAAGCTATCCCCTTTGCCTCGTTTTGTTTTGAAGCACCACATTTTTCCTGTTTTCTGATGTGCCTAATGAAGATCACCAGAAATAATGCTCTATTTGTGGGCTAGTTAATGGCTCCATTGAGCTTGGAGTAGACTGTGAATTGGCAGCAATGCTGTGATTACTGATTGGCCATGACTGTACCAGAAGTGCTTTGACTGATGCAGAGACTTTGCCCACAGCTTATTTCTAGTGTGGGTTTCACTTATTCCAGCTCAATTTTGCCAGCCTAAGCTCTTAAGAGCAAAAGGGCAGGTTTACCAACTGTGTGGGGCATCTTGCTGGGGTACCTTGTGGCACGCCTGAGTCCACCTGTGCTAACAGAAGTTGATGTGACTTGCATTACATCTGATGTGGGGGGAGGCTAAGAGTCCATGAGGTAGAGGGTGTTGATATTCTGACATTAGGTTTCAGAGAGTGTTTCTTAGGAGCAGAACTCCCCCAAACAGGATTGGTGAATGTGAAGATTTACTTAGTGGAAAATGTGATTAGTTGGAAGTTCACGTAAGAATATAGCTATTAAATAGGTGTTTCCAAGTAGCCTTACTGTGGGATATCTGTGCAATAGTGTTAATTGAGAAAGATACATGATAGCAACTTACTTTAACGTTATAGTGCAGCAGTGTGTCTAAAGCACTGTTCACGGAAGGCTGAACAGACAGGATTATCTTCCTCATTTTGAAATGATGGTAGAGGGCATCTGTTTAAAATAAACAAGCAGTACTGGCCATTTGTCCTAGCTGCTTATTCTCAACAACCTGACAGCAGTTTTCTTTTCACAGTGTATCGAGAAGAATCAGAGAGATGATATTATTTCCATAAAAGCTTATCTCAGCATGTGTTTTTTTTTCCTCTGAGCACATTTACCTGATTCGCCACTTTTTTGAGTCCTGTGCAGAGGCATCTGTGGTGGGTCTGGCATTTGGCATCTACACCTTTACTTGCGAAAACTGGTGCAGGCGTGACTGAAATAACAGATCAGTGGTCCCCTCCCTAGTCATGTATATTCTGCATTTGTCTTATTTTGGTACTGTGCAATTCCTTTCTTTGCCAGGCGGTAGTCTTATGAAGCAAAACTCTGGAAAATGCAAGGTCTTTTTCATGGTAGATGAAATGGGAGCAATGTAATGGCTAGCCTAGAGTTAAGTCTCAGATGTCAGCCTAGACACTCCGTGGCAATCTTTTTTTATTTTTCTTCCTCTTCTTCCCAAAATTGGCTTTTAAAACCTCAGGAGGTCATCATTCAGCAGTTGATTCACTTCCCCAAAACAAGTACGTGCCCTGGGATTAATTGGCTGGAGAGTTTAATGTTAGAGATTTACCACTTTCATTTCTGCTGTCTGTTCTCTCACCTTCCCAGAGTTTGATCTGTTCCTCTGTCTTCAATTACAGAACAGTAGCTCCAACTGTTGTGGTTAGTCTTATAGCAAAATGGAAAGAAATGAATAAAAATCAATAGTGTAAGTGTCGAGTGATCTGTAAGGAAGTTTAGAAAAAGACAGCGACACCCAGGCACCTGGCTGGCCAGAGCTCTCTCACATTTCAGTGGGAAATTTGAGAATAAGTTTCTTTATTCCAAGTGATCTGCTGGTGCAAAGGAAAAGTCTCCTTTCTAAGGAAAACCGATAATATTGAATAAGGAAA